CACAGTTGAAACAAGTTCTAACTCGTTACTTCCCCTTGAGGCCACTTGAGTTGTTCTTGTGGAAGTTGGGTCTTGTATTCTTCTTACTCCAAAATTGTCTTGAGGCAAGAGCCATGTGCTCATGATAATCATACTTCGTGTCCTCGGGGTTGCTCTCCTCATCTTCCTCCTCTTCTTCTTCTTCCACACTAACCTTGGCCTTCAAGGCAAGATTGGTCTTCTTTGCCCTTTGAGAACGGAGCACCGCATTATCGGCGGTCTTGTCCAAGATGCTCATTGCAACAAACTCATCCAACACTTCACCTGAGGTCATGGAGTGGAAGTCCGGTCTTTGGCGAATGATGGAGGACATGGCCTTGTTGTAGGGCATCATGGCCTTGAGGAACTTGCGCTTGATCCAGTTGTCATCCGTGTCCTTGCTCCCATGATCTCGGAGTGCGACCGCGAGTTTGGTCACTCTTCGAAAGAGCTCACGAGGTTCTTCATCCTCTTTCATTGCAAACTCATCGGCTTCATCTTGCACCACTTCATAGTTGGAGCGTTGAATGCTAGCACTTCCTCGATAGAGAGACTCAACACATTTCCATGCTTCTTTAGCCATGACATGAGGTCGAAGACGAGGGAGATCTTCGGGAAGGATTGCATCTTGGATGATGAAGAGAGCACTCTCATTGAATTGATTGTCCACTTCTTCTCGAGGGGTGAAGTTGCTTGGATCATGAGGATAGAAACCTTCTTCAATAATTCTCCAAAGGTTAGTGTTCACATGTTTTAAGTGACGCTTGAAGCGATAAACCCAAGAGTCAAAATCTTCATTTTTCACATATTTAGGAGGAGGACCGGCATGATTCAAATGAGTAGAGGGGATCGGTCCTCTATACACTGGGGGTTCCACATTGGCAAAGATGCCGGTGCCATTTCTACCACTAGTAGACGGACTCTTTTCACTGTTAGCTTCCCCCTTGTCGGAGGTAGCATCCGTCACCTTGTTAGTGGGATCACCCACTTTCATCGGCGAGGTAGATAGTTTAAGTCCGTCTAGGAAATCAGAAAACATGCTTTTAACCTCGGCCGTCATGGAGGTTTTCAATGTGTCTAAAGCCACATTGAATTCCTCATGAGAGACCGAGGCTCCCCCTTCGGCCGTGGACGAGATGGGATTCACACCGGAGTGCTCCTCCGCACCGTCGTGGGTGTCAACCATACTCTTCGGATGGCAAAGTCCTTAATAAAGAGACGAGGCTCTGATACCAATTGAAAGGATCGATATGGTTGACTAGAGGGGGGTGAATAGGAAACTAACAATTTTTAGACTTTTCTTTAACAATTTAAACCTTGCAATGAAATAGGTTGTCTAGATGTGCAACTACGTGGACAACCTATATGATGCAAAGAAAATAAGCACACAAGCAAGCAATAGATACAACTCAAGTAAGCTTGCAAAAGTAAAGGGACAAGATAACCAAGAGTGGAGCCGGTGGAGACGAGGATGTGTTATCAAAGTTCCTTCCTTTTGAAGGTAAGTACGTCTCCGTTAGAGCGATGTGGAGGCACAATGCTCCCCAAGAAGCCACTAGGGCCACCGTAATCTCCTCACGCCCTCACACAATGCGAGATGCCGTGATTCCACTATTGGAGCCCTTGAAGGCGGCAATCGGACCTTTACAAACAAGATTGGGGCAATCTCCACAACACTTGGAGGCTCCCAACAACACCACGAAGCTTCAGCACAATGGAGTATGGCTTCGAGGTGACCTCAACCGTCTAGGGTGCTCAACACCCAAGAGGAACAAGATCCGCTAGGGATAAGTGGGGGGAATCAAATTTCTCTTGGTGGAAGTGTAGATCCGGGCCTTCTCAACCAATCCCGAGCAAATCAACAAGTTTGATTGGCTAGGGAGAGAGATCAGGCGAAAATGGAGCTTGGAGCAACAATGGAGCTTTGGGGGAAAGAGGTAGGTCAACTTTGGGGAAGAAGACCCCTTTATATGGTAGGGGGAACAATCCAACCGTTATCCCACTAAGCAACCCCGCACAGAGCGGTACTACCGCTAGGGAAGGGCGGTACTACCGCTTCGGGCGGTACTACCGCTCAACCCAGCGGTACTGCCGCGCTGACAGGGCCCTGACCCAAGGGCGGTACTACGGTGGGGGTAGGCACGGTACTACCGCTTGGAGCGGTACTACCGCCACAACTACCGCCCTTAGTACCGCAAAACCCGACACGAAAAACATCGTTCTCGAATCGAGGTGGCAGTAGCCCGGAAGCACTGCGATACTACGACCGAAGACCCCAAGCGGTACTACCGTTCGGAGAGCGGTACTACCGCTTGGAGCGGTACTACCGCTGGGGAGCGTCGGCGGTACTACCGCTGGGGCAGAGCAAAGAATACTAAGGGGAAAACGGCAGCTCCAATGAAGCGGAAAGAAAAAGACGGGTGTGATATGGATGTATACGTGTTGATTCCACCCAAGTCTTACCAAAACGGATCCCCTCTTGATAGTACGGTGACTCCTACGAGACTAGTCCACCAACAACGAAATGAAGGAGCTACACCATCTTGAATAGAACACCGAGGGGAGAAAATCGTCTCGTGCCAAAGGATGAATCTCTGAAAGAACTTAACGCACGCGATTAGTCCGCACAAGCATTGTCATCAATGACCAAAACATCTTGGGGAAAAATATGCCCTTACAACAAGGAAGAACATCCTTGCGAGGGTCTGTTCTTGGCTGGTGCGATGAACTGCTAGGGGGAGTTCAGTCGCTCTTTCTGCTGGTTTCCAGGTGATGCCCTACCTTGTGGGTGGCTAGTCCTATTTATAGGCAAAGGCCCTGGGCCTCTTCCCAAATATTGAGCGGGAAGGGCGCCAACTATTGGCCATTTTGAAGGGGAGCATTCAGTACACTTATCCTGACTAAAGTTGGTCCTCGCCTGTCAAAGGCTCTGGTGGTGACGCCGGCTTGGGCTCCACAATGACTTCCTTCCTGCCGTTGCGACGGTCTTGGTCTTGTTCCACCGAAACAGATGCCTTTGCTTGATGCTCTCGCCCGCGCTTGCTCCTTTTGCACCAAAGAGGAAAGGAGGACACTGCGCGGGCTGGCGCCCGCCTGGCGCCCTTGGTCGTCATGGCTTGCGTCATGGGCACCTCGTGAGGTACCCCACCTTGATCTCTCCGCCTTCTCGCGAGCCAGCCTGACGAGGCCGTGCCTGAGGAAGCTTCCTATCGTCCACCCCGCGAGGCTTGGCCTCTCGCGAGGGTCTTGAGCTCGTACTGATGAAGATGGGCCATGCTGGGCCGCCCCTTGAGCCACGCCGCAGGCTGCAGGCAGGCAAGTCTGAGGACCCCCGTTCCCAGAACGCCGACAGTGTAAATTGATTCCCCCCTATGTTCCTAGGCACAACGAACCTTTTGACCCCCAAGACAAAATCAATAGTGGGTGGTAGTGAGACTTACAAATTTATTAACATTTTCCTGATTTGCAAGTGTTTTTGAGGATTTTGGTGGTTATAAAAATATTTCTTATCTTCAAATTTCATCTCAAGTTCATCTTCATACCAATTCTTTTTGTCAAAACTTCAAACTCTCTTAACTGATATTCAAGAGAAAAGGATTCTAGAAAGATTCATAGAATTAGAAGAACTTTCTCTCTTGGGCGAGATGATAAAAGGGAAACTAAAGACACATGTACAAAAACCTCCTACAAGAATACACAAGGAAATAATACAATGGATGAAAATAAATAATGAGGATCATCTCCATACCATTTTGCATTTCTCGACAAATATAATCTGTTTGGCTATTCTAAGTGGTTCTTTTTTTCTGGTAAAGAGGAACTTGTCATTTTTGAATTAAATAATTCATAATAATATAATTTCAAAATTTCCTTTAATTTAGGGCCAAATTTTTATATAAAGAATATGAGTCAATTTTTATTGGAGTTTGTACAAATTCCATGTTTATGCGTTTTTCTTTTGGTGAGATAAAAAGACCACAATATTCTTTCATGCTAATACCACAATATTTAGTTTGTGTGTGTGTGTGTGGGTGCGTGCGCGCGCGCGCGCGCGTGTGTTAACTCAGAAGAAACCGAGCTACCTAGCGAATGTGTAAAGTGCGGGTCGTTCGATGGTAAGACTATGGACTCTGCCATTAGATTATTGTGTTTAAATTTTTGATAAGATTAAGTGAATCATGACATTCCTATTCATGCATTTTTGGAATTCACATATAGGCCTACGGTTGTCATCAGTGCATTCCACTAGAATTCATAGATTTACTATGTTCCATTAAAAAAAAAGATTTACTGTGTTTCAGACACTGCTTAGGGCCTTTTTGGTTTGTAGGATTTTAAAAACAGAGAAATAAAAAAAGTATAGGGTTGGAGTGGCATGCTTATTTAAATTCTATAGGATCAACAATGAGTGTTTGATGGCATAGAAAAAACAAAAAAATTGTAAAAAAAGGTTGGAGTGGATGTTATATTTCCTATAAAATGTTGTACAAAAGATACCATAGGAAAAATTTCTATGGGATTTCAATCCTATGAATCCAAGGACCAGCATAGGAAAAATCCTAAGGATTTCAATCCTTCACAAATCCTATAAAATTCATTTGAATGAAAGGAGCCCATTAGCATGCATGGCACGTGGGCTCTTTTTACTAATCATTCCCTACTTATCAGTTACGGAGGCTGTTCCTCTTTTCTTGTACTACTACAACATATATACGCAGAGGATAAAAAGCTCATACGTACATACACACACTCATGAGTGAACACTTCTGTCCTACACTTGCACACACTCACACTAGCTGGCCATCCTGTATTATATATCCCCTTGCGCTCCCACACATCGCTCAGACTAGCGCGCGGCTACTCATCTCTAGCTACCATCTCAGCTCCACTACCGCATCGCCTCTGCTCCACCACCACCACTGCTACGCCGCCCACTCGACGGCAATGGCCGCTGCTCAGTGACGGCCCCCACCGGCCCGGCTATGCCGCAAGACGACGCGTCCTTCCTCCTCTGCGCCGAGGACGCTTTCTTCTTCGTCGACGCCGCCGCCAGCACCTGCACCACCGCCGAGCAGGACGATGGCTGGTGCTCCAGCGCCGAGGAGGAGTCGGCGGCCTCCTTCGTCGCCGAGCTCATCGGCGGCGAGGCCGACTACTCGCCCCGGTCCGACTACTCCGACCGGCTCCGGTCGCGGTCCGTCGACCCCGCCGCCCGGGCCGACTCCGTTGCATGGATTGTCAAGGTGACATAGATGAGCTTCTTTGGATTGGATGGTGCATGTTTGCGTGTGTAGTTTTCTGCTATCTGTATCTTTATCTCATCCCGTATTGTTATGTCTTCCTTGTTCAGGTGCAAGAGTACTACGGATTCCTTCCCTTGACGGCCTACCTCGCCGTGAACTACATGGACCGGTTCCTCTCCCTCCACCGGCTGCCGGTAAGCTCGCCGCTCGCCGTCCTTGACCCTGCACGTCACTAACCGCGCACACAAATCTCACCATGTCAGACAGCCATACGTACACGCTGGGCACCATGTCACGCGCGTATCAGATAACCAGTTTGCTCTCTGTATCTTTCGGCATGGTGCGTAGCGCTCGGCCGATGCCGTTCTTTCCGTTCCGTATAAAAAGAAAAGTTTTGGAAGTTGGTGTGCAGACTGCTGCTAGCACATCAATTCAACAAACCGGCCAATTACGGTTATACCCTCAGACGGAATGAATGGGGCATCATCAGGGCGTGTGGGATTTCTTTATGCGCTCAAGACAGAGCGGTCTTTTGGCTTTGCAGCGTGCTTTAGCGCAAGCGAGCCCAAGCTTTTATCGTGGAACAGGCCTTATCATTGTGCTTTGCCTGACTGCCCCTTGTGCTCCACATTCTCGTGTTAAGTAAGTATATGGCCTATGCCGTATGGGATAGTGTTTGGAGTCACTAGCGTCAGGTATCTATCTACTCTACTCCCAGTTCCAAAGTGACTCTGCAATGCACGGTGGAGGCGCTGGGGTGGTGACAGTCAGCAGTAGTAGTTTATTTACCTGGCCAAAGGAAAAGAACAAGCTGCGAGAGCTAGCTGTAAACCGGTGCAAAGCAGCATTGTTTTTCTGACTTTCTTGTTGCTTTGTGGATGCTGTGTTAGTAGTAAAACACAGGCCCTTGGATTATTTATTTATGTCAGATAGTAGAGTTCAGTGTGGGAGCTACAGTGGGCATGGCATGCTGGCGTCACTCCATGTTTTCTTTTAAGGATTATTTGTTCCAAGTGATACTACTGGTCTACTGGATGGTGAATTGGTGATGATATGCTAGCTGAATAATCCAAGTGCTGATGTGACTGCATATCTCACCAACCTTATTACTTTGGGGCCAATGTTAAGATGGCAAACAAGCAGGCTTATAATATCACTCTCCTAGTGCTACTCACAGTAGGTAACAGTGGTTAATGTTGTCCTCTTAGCATAACTACAGGGGTCCCACCATATGTAGTACTTCCTCCGTCTGAAAATACTTGTCATCAAAATGGACAAAAAGGGATATATCTAGAACTAAAATACATCTAGATACATTCTCTTTTATTCATTTTGATGACAAGTATTTCCGGACGGAGGGAGTATATGGTACTATGCATCTACTCTGCCTTCAGCAAACTATTTTATGTACGGTTTGCAGCTCCATATATATACACTTGATTTAAGGAATTTGAAGAGGGTTTATTCATTCATGTTTGCTCATAAAAGAACAAGAATGCCACAAGAACATATAGACATAGTGCTACATTATCTGTCCTTGCTTCAGCTATATTAACTGCAGTGTTTGTTTGTGTTCTTGCAGCAGGAGGATGGATGGGCAATGCAGCTGCTAGCTGTGACCTGCCTCTCCTTGGCTGCCAAGATGGAGGAGACCCTGGTGCCCTCCCTCCTAGACCTTCAGGCAATTACACCCACCTACTTGATTCCACTGTCATACACTTCTATTCTGGTGCTCAACTTTGGTACTTCAGCAGAGTTGTAATGTGAATTATGGATTTGTACATTGCCAGATAGAGAGCACAAGATACATCTTCGAGCCGAGAACGATCCTTCGAATGGAGCTTCTCGTCCTCACGGCGCTCAATTGGAGGCTCCGATCGGTCACGCCGTTCACATTCATCGACTTCTTCGCTTGCAAAGTCGATCCGAGGGGGAGGCACATGAGATACCTGATCGCCCGAGCCACACAAATGATTTTAGCCGCAATACATGGTATATTACAACAATGTTTTGTTACTTGACTACATAGAGTCGTTGCAACATGGCACTAATGTAATGCTGCAAAATGCAATGCCACAGACATTGAGTTCTTGGACCACTGCCCGTCGTCCATGGCTGCCGCGGCGGTGCTGTGCGCCGCCGGTGAGACGCCGTCCCTCACCTCGTTGCTCAACCCTAGGCTTGCAGTCAATTGGTGCATTGGCCTAGCAGAGGTAACATGAGGATCACCTTCAGCACATTGGCAAGTTATGAATTGTGATCAAGTTGTGTAACATGCTATAGCTTTTTCCCCTGATAATAGGAAGGGGTGAGCAGCTGCTACCAACTAATACAGCGGCTGGTGGGTTGCAAGAGGGCAGCCACAGCGGAAGCGGCAGTTAACCTGTGCTCAGACGAGGTTCTGTCCTGTGATTACTCCTCCTGCACCACCCCACCCCCACCCAAGAGGAGAAAGAGGTCACCTCCACCGGTCATCACATGAAAACAAAGGAACGGCGAGTAGATAAACCATCATTTTACATGGTTTTTTTGGGGGTCAGATTAACAGGGCTTGATTTCTTGCTGTTGTTGTGTTGTTGTGATTCTTTTTTCCTATTTGTTCTCTTCTTTTGGGGTTCTTTCTTTTTACACCTTGGTGGGGGCTCTTTCTTGCTTGGCCATGCTATCATGGCGGCCTCTGCGCTGCCAGTCTGTGAAGGATGTGGGAAATATCAGAGAAAGAGAGAGGGTCAGAGAGAAACATGGACACATTTGTGTTTTTCTGTGCTTACCACCCTGTGGCTGTGGGTCTTCACCCCGATGCAGAACTGCAGAGTATACATTGATTAGATGGTGAGGGAAGAAGAAGCCATGGCTAGCATGCAATGGCAGATACAAGAAAAGTAAAAATGATGGCAATGAACAGCATGTTTGCATGGCACATTGCATGGGGATAGATAGATAGATGTGGATGAAATGATGGTGGTGGTCAAGGAGGAGTGGTCAGAGCTACAGCCAAGGTGCAGTAGGCCTTCTCCCTGCCAAGCTCTGTTCATATTCATGAGGGAGAAATTTGTTTGTTTCCGAGTGGTTTGTTTGTTTTTTGTTGATGCTACTGAAGAAAGAGAGAGAGGGGGCATGGTGTACTGGGAGGCACATGCATGCCCTAGCTAGTGTGCTGCTCTGGGGTGAAATATTTGTCCATCTCCAGGCTGAACAGTGTCCAAGCATGAGGCTTTTGGGGGCCCTTGCTATTTGTACCTTTTTTCCATCATCAGCAATAAAAGATGTTGCCATTTACTACATTATCTTGAAAGAATGTGAGGATTTATATGCTTTGCCTTTGCGGGTATGCTATGAGGCCAGCCATGTGTTTCTGTTCCTCTTATTTTTCAAACAGAGCTCAATATAATTGGTGTGTATATTGTCAGCCTAATTCTGAAACTGAAAGTCAGAAAGTGCCCCACAAAGCAAGGGACTTTGAAAGTTTGCATTGTCTTTCGCTAATGATCCCAACGTGTCAAACAAATAACTATACAGCATCACATGATTGTTGAAAACATATTGTATATTGGTAGGTTAGGTGGCTCCTATACATGCTTAAAGCACTGTAGGAAGTAGACATGCGTTGCAAGTAGTTGTGACATACTTAACTTTACATCCATTTTCTTCCCAACAAGAATTATCCACTCAATAATCACTCTGACATTATAATGCTCTAATCCAGCTGATAGCTAGCGTACATTAATCTGCTCAGGCACTGCAAGTTGATTGTAATGAAACTACAATTGGAACGAATCTGAACATAATATACATCCCCATGGTGTGGTGGTGGTGCAGGGTAGACACTATATATGTATATATATCCCTGCCATGCCACCTAGAAAGAATAATATAATAATTCCCATCATGGCTACTCATGCATTCATAACGGTGGTCAATGGTCAACAGTAGTGGCTTTCAGGAATCATTGGAGACGCTGAGAGACAGTTGGTCACATCTTTTTTATCCCTCTTTTCAGTGTTTCTCGAAGGGTAATTTCCAAAGTCATATTTATGAGGCCAACTCCAATGTGCGACCCCATTCTGTCCGCCCACGTCTGTTTGGGGGTAAACGGACAAAACAGGACCCAACGCGTGGCCGCAAACGGACCATTGTCCGTTTTCTATCCGCTTTCGACCCATTTCCGGCCCAAGTTTGGGCCGAGTTTGCGGCCGAACGGACACGCGCGGACGCGAGCGGCGCGTGCCCTTGTCCTGCCTTAGCCCGCCCATCGGTGAGACAGACCCCCCTTTCTCTTCCTCTACCTCTCTCCGCACCCCCGCCATCGCCATCGCCACCACCATCCCCGGCCGCGTCATCTTCCACCAGGGTTGTCCCAACCACCACCGCGTCATGCCATAGCTGTCTCCGCACTGACCTATCGGAAAGCATTTGGCCGACGTTCTCTGTGTTGCCGGTGGGAGACAAACTACGGCCATCGTCGTCGCCCGTCGTCACCAAGCTCTTCCGGCCAGCCGTTCGGTCATGCAAGGCGCCATCCACCATCGTTGTCGCCCATCGTCCCCAACCTCTTCGAGCCGGCCTGCGAGGGGAGCAGAGCGTGCACTATTCGACCGCTTTCCGACCACGACCGCAAGACGTTCGATGGATTGCTTAGAAGGTACAATGGACAGTGGTGATGAGTTTTTCTTTCACAATTTCATTTTCTCATCGGATGATTCATCCTTGGAAGATGAAGAGCCGGCGGCCGCGTTGGTCGTACATGAAGACATCACTAGGAAGCGTCCTGGGTACAGGGGATCAATCCCAGGCCATGCTCCGGCCTTGGACCGCAATAGAGAGAAAGGCCACACACTTCTCTATGCCGATTACTTTAAGGATGGTCCACTCTTTAGGCCACATCAATTCGGTCGCTGATTCCGAATGAGAAGGCATGTGTTCAATCGTATTCGCGAGGGAGTGGTCGCGTATGACCCATACTTTGAGTACAAAGTGGATGCCCTAGGCAAGCTTGGTTTCTCTTCTTACCAGAAATGCACTGCGGCTATCCGCATGCTTGCATATGGAATTCCTGGTGATCTTGTGGATGAGTATGTTCGTATGAGTGAGTCCACATGTCTCCTCTCATTGTACAGTTTTTCCACGGCCGTGGTGGAAGTTTTCGGCCCGGAGTACCTCAGAGAGCCAAATGACGCCGATACAGACAGGTTGTTGGCGATCAATGCCGAGAGGGGCTTTCCGGGCATGCTTGGTAGTATAGATTATATGCACTGGAAGTGAAAGAACTGTCCATTTGCTTGGCATGGGTAGTACAAGGGGCATGTGAAAGGTGTCACTGTTATACTTGAAGCTGTGGCTTCACAAGATCTCTGGATATGTCATTCTTTCTTCGGCATGGCTGGTTCTCATAATGATATTAGTGTTCTTCAGCGGTCTTCGGTGTTTGCAAGGCTTGCGGAAGGGCACTCCCAGAAGGTGAACTTTGAGGTCAATGGCCACCATTAGAACAAGGGATATTACCTAGCTGATGGCATCTATCCTCAGTGGTCCACTCCTGTGAAGACCATACCCAATCCACAAGGAGAGAAGAGACAGAGGTTTGCCCAAATGCAAGAGAGCGCTAGGAAGGATGTGGAGCGTGCTTTCGGTGTCCTTCAGCCTCGGTGGGGTACCGTTCGTAACCCTGCATTAACATGGAGCACGAAGAAGTTTTGGGAGGTGATGACTACTTGTGTGATCATGCACAACATGATCGTGGAGGATGAGCGCGATGATAGCATCTACGATCAAGGGTTTGATTTCTAGGGTGAAAATGTTGAGACTGAGCATGCACCTCCTGCAACCTTTGAACAGTTTGTCAAGTTTCATCAGGAGTTGCTTGATTGGCATACTCATGTCCAGCTCCAGGATGACTTGGTTGAGCACGTGTGGACTCATATTGGCAACCAGTAGATCTATCAGTTTAATTTCTTGTCATGCAAACAAATTCTGATTGGGTTGTAAGACAATTTGATATTGTTTTCTTGTCATGCAAACAAATTTCGATTGAGTTGTAAAAACTATTTGAGAGCTATATTTGATTTGAACCATTTCATATGCATCAACTTCATTTTATGTACTGTGCTGAGCGAACGGACGAGATGCGGCCGAAATGCGACCACAAGTTGGGCATACGGCCGCCGCATCCACGTATCCGGCCGGACACGGCCTCATTGTCACCTCTAAACGGACGAAATTCGGATAAAACGGACGTTCGTTTGGGACCGCGTGTTGGAGTTGGCCTCACCATGACCATGATGACCCAAGGAAGGCACACATGGAAGTCATATGGCCATGGCATGGCGCCATGTATGCCATCCTTGATCTGTGGCAGGCTAGGCCATGCCACGCCCTCCTTTGGCCCTAATGTACAAATGAGGCCATCACCATGGAACCCCACCACAGATCTCAAAATTTTGCAATCTTGGTCTTGTCCTTCTTCATTTAATTTCTTTCCCAAATAACACAATGGAGAAAGCCTGATCCTAGACAGCTGAGTGGAGTACATACTATCGGTAAATGGTTGCAAATTTGCAGGTGCCTTTTGACAGGGTTTGGATCTTGGGAAGTCTTTCTATGAGGTTGAGAGTGAGAAAAAAACCGTCTTTCCAAAAGAGAGGAAAGCAGCTTTGAGATGGTCTGCCTATGTGTTACACCCACTTGGGAGGAAGTTTCTCTTTTTCCACAGCCAAGGATCGCCTTTGATTCCTGATCGGACGGCCGCGATGTCCCCGGGCGAAAAGAGCTGAATCTCATGCTTGTTTTTTCTACAAGAAAACCGATGAATCCAACGTGATGGTGCAGGTGCAACAAGCGGATCCAGCTTTCGCAACACCCCTTTGCTGATTCGACGCCGCACTTTCCTCCTCCTCCTCCCGGGCAAAAAAGCCACGGTTTTTCAGGCAACTTTGGAATCCCATGCACGGACGAGCCCGAAAGCCACGAGGACAAAAGACCGGTACGCGCGCACAGATTGCAATCGCAGATGCATGAGTATGTAACTTTTGCAACGTTATTCTTTTCCGGAAAACCAAGACATGGAGATCGATCCCAGCGCCATTGATGAGCAATGAGAGGCTCTGGGTTTTGGCTGGAGCACGGTGACATTCTAGTGAGATAATGTCACTGCAAATTTTCAAGCTTAGAATGGAATTGTCGGATGCTTCTAGGCTGCTGCGGTTGGTGATGAACCGATGGCGTGTTTTGGTCCCGACGAATGGTCAAAAGCTGGCATGATAGGAGAATATTTGGAGAGGGGCAGATGCGTTTCTTTTGTGCTCGCGTGGGGAGACAGCTGCCATGCCCTGTCCTTGCGCATTGCAATGTCCGTGGACTTCTCTTGGATTTTCTTTTAGGCATGCCATGCCTCACGTAAGTAGGGTATATATATGACGTATAGTGGTAAATTGCAAATGTCCACCATTGCGAATGCCACTTACAAAGGTAATGTTTAAGGGGCCA